AATTTAAGGATCTGATCTTACAGAATATTTGCACGATCTGTTGGTGAAACTTGGAGCTGGAAAGTGTCCTCAATCGACTAGTGCTGCTCCGGTCTAGTCCTGATCTGCAATGAGAACACGTTCGATGTGCGACAATCCTAAGGGAATCCGGCTGGTCTCCATTGATTCGATGTATATATATATATATATATATATATATATATATATATATATATATATATATATATATATTTGTGGACAGATATTGTGCCATCGGTATCATGGAGGAATAAGAAAACAAGATAGGAATAGGAAAAAGGCCTCTCTGTTTTTTCCGGTTTTTCACTCGCAGTTTTTGAGATCATTTTTAATTCTTTATTCTATTGGAGAAGGGAAGGAAAATCACCTCAACGCGCAGAGATACATGTCCGCCATTGACATTGATCTTAAGCCGTAACATTCAAGGATCTCTAACCAGCGATACTATATCTCTGAAATCCCAACCAGAGAATCGATAAAAAGCGACTGAAGCCAATTGTTTCGTCAACCTTGTGGGTTCCCCATGTTGTAGGTTCTCTACCGCGCCGTCTCCTCCAGTCCTTTCCAGTAACTGCGAACAACGCTTGACGCGGAAAACGATGAGCGGGCATGCGCAATACGTTTCCAAGCCGCCGCAGCTGACGCAGCGGGACGAACTCCTCGAGCGAGTGGTTGCCTCCACTTAAGATACGCTTTCACATTGCTTACGTGGTCTTGCCACCACATACGAGCAATGGAGCGCTAACAACGCTGCTCGAAGACAGAGTCGGCGCAGGTCAACGGTACGAACGGGCTAACTCGCAACCGTATAGGAGTACAGTGCGGACACTCGGCCAATAAAGCCGCTCTTTGACGGATAGACGGATTTCATGGGGGCGACACAAGTGTTTCAGCTTAGAGAAAGCGAGAGGAACTGTTGAGATACGCATCAAAATCTCATGTTTAACTTTCCACCAGCAGTGCTACAGCTTGCCAAGTAGACAACACTCTCCACCATCTGCAGTGTATCACCACCAATAGTGAGTGCAGGTACAGGCAAGTGAAAGCCTTGAAACAGAGCTTTGCACTTGCGTGGGAAAAAAGCCATCCAAAACTACGACGCTTTAATCGCCAAGGACTAAACTGCGAGTTGTACGGCCTGTGGACCGTCTCCCAGCAAGACGGTATCATCATTTTAATACAAGTCAATCACTCGACTACCTGCGAGGAGCACAACGCCAGCACTCAACAGATTTTCCGGTGCTATCTGTTGTTCTAAAGAGCTAGCATGATTATCACTATCTAGTACTCGCCTACGCACATCATCGTCGCGGACACGCTGGTGCCACCCGACACCAGCAATGCATCGCAGACAACGATGATCAAAGACTTGATGGCGCCTCAGATTATCAGACCGAAGAGGACAAGTTTCTCTTCGATAAAGTAGGACGGCCGTCATTTTGACCTTGTTAACATGGCCTATCAGACAGAGGAAAACTCCTCTCTGTCTCCAAAGATGCCGCAGGTTCAAGAAGGCAGTTCTGGCTTTTGCAATGCGTCAACCGACTTCCGTTTCTACGAGCCCATCGTTGCTGATGTAGCTGCCAAAGTAAGTGAAATGATCAACTAGCGCAAGTTCTTCGTTATCAATGGTCAAGGGGTTATCAAGTGGCTGGTGGTCCTACAGCAGCACTTTATACTTTGCGGGTGCCAAGCACACACCAAGTAATTGGACCACTCTGGAGAGGCTATTCAGGGTTGATTGGGCCGTCCCAACATCGTTCTGCAGCAATACGATATTCTCCTCATAATCTCGATCAACTACCCTTTCAATCGGCAACACCTCAGTGTCTGCTTCGGGAAATTTTACAAGGGAACACTCCATACTGGACTCAACGACGAAATTGAACAAAAATGGGGAAATTGGATAACCCTGACGAACTCCACTTGTGGTCGGAAAGCTATCCGACAGGTTACCGTAGACCCCGACGTGCCATGAAGTGTTCGAGAATAGAGCACGTAAAATGTTCACATATTTCGTGGGAACACCTTTCCGCGTAGGTATTTTAAACAGAATGCATAAATCGACTGAATCTACCACATTCTTAAAGTCAAGGAACACAGCTATTGTCGGTCTTCGGTATACGTGGCGCTGCTCTAGCACCAGCCGGAGTCAATATGTGTTGTATTTCACCACGTCCTGGGGGGAAACCTGCGACGAACGTTAATTGAGGACAGTAATTTTGTCATCGTCTGTGCGGCTGTGCTTCTTGTATTTTGGCACTCAAATCGATTCAATGTAATTAGTCCTAGCTTTCTCCTCCTTCCATACATGTTCGAATACACAGGTCAGTGCTTTGCAGTGGACCTCACCTCCATGCTTAAATACTACAGGTGGGAGGGAATCTGGGCCAGTGGCACGAAAACGGTTGAGGGTTGTGATCGGGTTTCGGAATCGGGCTTTTACGGAGGCTCTAAACTAACCGTCCATGGCTCGTCCTGCATCACCTGAGTAGGAAGAGTTCCAGGAGCAGGAGGACGACTGCACTGATACGAAAAGTGTTCGCCTAACGAGCCATACTGTGCTCGTTATTGTGTATCTGAGCACCCACGCTGTCTCTGATTGTCTCACTGACACCAGGTTTCCTGGGACCAGTGGCGCGGATCAGGTGGTACAGTTTGCGATAGTTCCCTACTTCTCGCGCCTTCTTCATTTCTTGAGCTCGACAGCTCCATCAGGCTTACTTGTCATGGCGCAGGCTCCGCTTTAGTTCGCGCCTAATGACCCGTCTGGTCGCATTGTGCTCAAATCCAGCAGCGAGCTTTATTTTATGGATTCCCACAGGTTCACCGACCGTTCGGAAATCCAGTGACATGTGTGGTATCGATTGATAGTACCAGAAGCAGATGCTCCTGCGTCGTGCATGGCGGCCGTGATCATATTCCACTGAAGCTCAGTCTCATTAGGACAAGACACCGAAACTTCAGTAGGCAGTGCGTCTTGATAGGCTTGCCTGACCGAGGGCTGAGACAATTTCTCAGTTGCCAATCGAAGGAGACGCTTGGTGCGCCTCCCGATAAAGTTCATGGAGAAACGACAGCGTACCAAGACATGATCAGAGTCGACGCAGGTATTCCAGTACGAACGGCAGTCCAGGATGAAACCACATCACCTGTAACTTATGACAATTCGGGTCCATCGCTGGCCAGCTACAAGAGGACGCCAAGTGACACTTTGGCGTACACTGTGTCTAAAAACATTGCTACCAAGAAACCACTGGTGATCAGCACACAGTTGCAACAGACGCTCGCTGTTGTCAGTCCGTTCGGAGTTAAGCCCATAATTACCACCTGACTGAGCTCCTACACCCTACTTGTGCGTTCATCTCCCCTGCAAGTGGTATGACATCTGAACTGCTCGTGCTGAGTAGTATCGTGTTCAGTTCGTGTTAGTATGTGTCATTGACAGGATTAGAACTGCAGTCGGTGGGAACATAAGCGAAGCCACTAAGAAATAGCGTCTTTACTACTCCGTGGGTATATCTAGGTCGATGCAGTCAAACGGGCTGCACACAAACGGCTGCTCACGGGGATCCAATCAACCGATGATGGATCAGCCTTGGAGCTTAAAATAACACCTACACCCGTTTGACCCACGAGTGTTGCACTGGCGTCTCCGGATGCGAGCAACCAATAGCGAGAGGACAAGCCGGACGCAGTTAATTAAACAACCCACGTGCGTGTCATTGCTCCTACCTTCGGATGCACAACGCACATCAATAATCAGTGTGTCCATGATGCATGCGATTGCAGCCTGTTGGCCTATTTGTCTTAAAGTGCGAACGCTGAACTCCACCAGGGAGACGGGACAGCATGGCATTATAAGGGACTTTTGCCGATAGGCGTCCGGTGGGTGATGGGAGAGGTAGCTGCAGATGGTTCTACTCCAAGGACACTTCGGTTGCTGGGAATTGTAGTAAGATGGTTAGTAATGGGTGTCGGGATGGGAGTAAGAGAAAGAGGTGGAAAAGAATGGTGGCGCCAGAAGTAACATGTTTTCGGTTATCCGCCCTGCTGTACGCAGGAGACAAGGCGACCCTTGAGCTGCGCGACAGCCGATGCAGGATGTAATTAACGTTTGAGGAAATAGTCATGGTTGTATGTGGGCTGAGATTCTGCTAGGGTGCCCAGACCTAGACAGGAGGACGATTAGGATTCTCAACTAAAACCTTTGGTTCAAAAGCCCATCCGCAAGGTAGTGGGGAGGTGGCAATAATTTAGTTTTACAGAAACGGATACCATCCCATTTTAAACCCTCAACCTGGAGGACCAGGAGACTGAGTTTATCTGGCCTTTATCCATTGACCAACCTGGTAGGAGTAGCTTTCAAGGGGTCCAGAGGCACCATCCAGTATAGCTCAATTGGTCTGAGAGGTACGCCAACCACTTGTTTGGCAGACACGTTAGGAGTTGTTCGCTTTTGCGTTACGTTGGGGTCTCAATCCTCCGTCACGGATTCGCAGTGCGCAACATTTGTCACAACGGGTAATAATACTTAAATTATACTCTATCTTCTCTTTTTTGCTGGATACCGTTTCGGGCGTTCTGCGGCTTGCTTACTGTAGCCTAACTAAGCGGTATTTCTGTTTTCGTCCTCGATCTTTTGATTCTTTTTCTTTGGCTATCGTTGCTGTGCGGCGATTTACATTGCTTATAGCCTAACTCGCTACATCACTTTTCATCAACCACTGCGCCTCTCTCTACAATTGCTTATTCCTTTTTTCTTTCAACGGTTGCGCTGGTATTCTATCACATGGTCATCACTTATCTGCTCTGTTGAGCATTCCTAAGTCATTTTCTCAACGCGCTGGTTGTTTTTGGTCATGTGCCACTCTGAAATATGAAGTACACCATGGTGGTCCGAAATTGTAACTGTAACTGTTCCTTGTAATTTATTGTGTTACTGGAACCTCTGTGTACAATCTTTTTGATATTTTACTCAGGGTCTCTCCGAGCCATTCCATACCAGTCGGTTCAAGGCAAACCAAAGGTCAAAGTGAGTAGCGCGCTTGATGTCTTGCTGAATTCGTTTCTTGGTTAACCTCACCCTTGCAACGTGGACAGTCTGTGAAAGTGTCTTGGACAAGGTTCTGCTCCACGCGTTTTCACTCGCCTCGAAATTCTGTTGTTTATGGAATAATGTAGGATAGGTGAATTTAGAAGTCGCTTTTGAGAATCTCGTCTCCCAAGTAGTTACGCTTGCGCCGTTAGCAGTTGGGCAGCATGTGGCTACGCTGGTCAACACTTGTCACCAATACTTCGATTTTACATCATGTGCCGATTACGTTCCGAACACCCTCAGAACTCAAGCGGAACGCGATTTTATCCTTTATCTACACGGAATACAGGACCGCCATTGCTCTGTTAGATAGCTTGAGTTAAATCTGAAAGATCTAAGCCATCCTTACTGATAAGTTAAGATTCCGAGTGGTGGATAACGAGCATGCTAAGATGCTGGCAGTCAAGAGATCTGCAAGCAAACTACTACATTGCTTAAAACAAGAGGACATAGTTGACTCTGGCGGACCGTGCAAAACGTAAATTTCAATTTTTATGGCCTTCCCAATATACATAAAGTGGGGGGCTGCTGCTAAGACCGATACTAGCCTTTATTTCCCCGCCGTTTCAGTAAGCCACAAGTGACTAACCAAGAAGCTGGGACCAGTCAGAGATGCCCTAGCCGGATGCTGATTCAGCGACACATTTGGCTTTCTCGAATCATTGGGGACCACTTTGTAAAAACAGAGTGAAAATGTTTTTATTAGATGTAATTCCCTTTCATCGTAAACTCTCTATGTCGGTTCATCCAGCTGCGCCATATGGACATCGGGGCCCAGAGAGACCGATTGGGACAACTACTGCCTACGTGCACCATTTTAATGGGATTCTATGTCGGCAAATAAATGGAATGACTGGGTTCACCAGTAGGGCCGTTACTTGCATACGTCGGAAACCAGCCAATTGAATAACTCCTTCAACAGTTTGGTGTATTATGGTCGATGTGTAGATAACATTTTATGTTGCGGATACTCCAGTGTACATCGAAGATCTGTTGGCCCACTTCAGCTCTGCACATGACCTTTGCTATCCAACTAGAACGTAGCGACTGCTTGATATGCACATCGGCATGGCATTAGGCAGATCGTTGCGTTGAAGCGTGCACATAGTGGTGCAGTATATCCACTACGCTCATGTTAGATCTGAAGACTCACCGACGGATTTCCTCATTACTGGTGTGATGCTGCCATCGCACACCAGCAATGCTTCACAGGTAGCGCTCATCGAAGACAGACAGCCGCTGAACATCGCTTTTGCGCACGCGCTGAGTCTTACAGCCCTACAGCAGAATCACTCGTACTTTAGCATTATGGACTCATCCCTTGAGAGCGAGGTTGAGATCACGACGAAGCCACAGGTGACGAAGGTTAACGAAAACGGCTCTAGCCTTGGAGACACGCAGGTAGATATCATCTGTCAAACCGACAATACTGACAACTCCCAAGATAAATGACTTTGTGGACCACTTCCAACGGATGCTCCGAAAGGGTGAGAGAAGGACGTGCGCTTGGCCAGTCCTGTAATGGGACCTTACATTTGGAAGGGGTAGAGCTCAACCCGAATTAAGCGGCGGACATCTCCAGTCTGAGCAGCACATGCTGGACGGCTTGGGAGGACTCACAAATCACAGCGATGTCATCGGCGTACTCTAAGTCCCGAAGGTGGTCACCAGGGAGTTGTTCAACACCGCAGGTCTCAGAGTTATCTAGGGCAGTTTCCAGTATCTCGTCCATGGCGACGTTGAACAAGGATGGAGAGGCTGGGCAACCCTGTCTAACACCGCTAGTGATACTGAAAGGGAGCGAAATGTCTCCGTATGCTCGCACGTGACCCGAAGTTTGATGGTAAATAGCACGGAGAATGCTGATGTACTTCTCAGCTACTCCCCTCTTCAGTACGCAATCCCAAAGAGCCACTCTGTCAACAGAGTCAATAGCGGCTCGAATATCCAAGAATATGACTATAGTTGGTCGACTGAATGTATGGCGATGTTCAGGTATCTGGCGAATGGTGAAGATATGTTTGGCGCTACCGCGACCCGGGCGAAATCCAGCTTGTTGTTCCCGCAGGTGCTGTTCCCGTACGCAACTGAGCTTCCTTAAGAATAGGGCAGCGAGCAATTTGGATGCCACACCAATGAGGCCGATGCCACGAACTCCGCCGATCGATTGATAGCGTCATCTCATTGCGGATGCTTCGCTGGTTTGGTCATGCGCTTCGCATGCCTACCCAGCTGCTGCCACGACGAGCCCTATTGGCGAGCACAGGCGTGGTTTGAAAGCGAGGAAAAGGAGGGCAATGTAAGACATCCAATGCGTTAAGGCGCAAACCTTGAAGCTGGTTGTCATCGGACGTTCCAGACTCCCGGGTTGCGCCCTAAGGACCCCGAGCACACCTGGTTGCAAACGCTGGAGGATATGGCCAAGGACCGTACGCAATGGCGCACTTGCTGTGAGACTCTTCTACCCCAACAGTTATTTTCCCTTTCACACTATCATTTTTTCTTATGTGTTGTGGTACTCAGCCAATTATCTTGTAATCGGTATAGTGCTGATTATATATATATATATATATATATATATATATATATATATATATATATATATATATATATAACGGGTGGCGGCATCCGGTTTCGCATTTGCCTGTCACCGTGGACAGCCACAGGACGCCTGCCCCTACAGAAGCACCATAGATGGCTTGCACTGCACCACCCACGGCTCCAACCACACACCCCATATCCAGTGTAAACCCGAAGGAATAAGACCAGGAGGCATGTGAATAGGAGCCATGTTTCATCCACGGAGCCGGCCCACACTCCTTCACATGCAAACACAAGCAGGCTGTAGTTGGGAATCAAGCGCACACAAAGCGGTAGCTGGACCGTAGTCCGCTCCACACTGAGTGCACGGAACCACTCTTCGAGCCTAGCACCGCCACAAAGACCGTGCATCCTGTCTCCTGGAGCCAGTATGGACGAGGTAGTGGGTAATAGACAGGTAAGCACCTTGTCAACATGCGCATCAAGCGCAGCCACATCGGGAATATCAAGCTACAACCAATCACTTGAGAGAAAGATAACAAGGAAATGAAATCGAGTAATGCATAATGAAGCGGTGACATAAATCTTAACGTAATGAACATATGAAATAAGTTGTTTACAAAAGAATCCGAGATAAGTTCACGAGATCAGAAAGTATGTTTTGCGGCAATGCCACAAACAAGAAAATGTTATCGAAATTAACTACAATTGGCTTAAGCGACGTGTTGCAGCTTATAGAAGAGAGTACAGGTAGACATTTATTTGAGTAGGAAAAGCACTAGGACAAAATGGAAAACCCACCACCTGAAATAAAGAGACGTAGCATGCAAACACGCGGTTAGTAAATCGAATGCAGCGTGCCTACCAACGCTGCGCTGGTTCTGCGTACGTTCTCCGCAGGCCCCGTCATCGCTTCGGTAGTGGTCCCGAGTGGCCTCGCTCATAGCTCCCTAGGCTTGCCTGACTCAGGCACTCGCGACCACATGTGCTACAGCACCATGCGCTCGATGTCGATGGAGTACGTCCCATCAGTGCTTACCGCTTCCGCACTTGCCGTTTCTTCTCTGCATATATGAGGTCTTTCTCCCGCACTTCGGCAACTGTCTTCGTGATCAGATCGCGCCATGCACACCGATCAACCGCCTTCGATTCCCATGATCTGCAATCAAGATTAGAACGTGAGAGGCTCACTTTAATCATGTCCTGGTAACGTAACTTTGGTTTCCCCACGTGCCGCTTCCCTATACTCAGCTGACTATATAAGAGTTGCTTCGGTATCCGCGTTGAATCCATACGGCTCACATGACCGATCCACCTCAGGTGTCTCAACAAAAGTATGTTGTCCACTGCATACATTCCACTTCGACGATGCACTTCCGTGTCAGCAACTCTTTCGCCCCAACCGATGCGCAAAATCCGTCGCAAACACTGCTGATGGAACCGCTCGAGATATCGCACATCCCGCCGGTACATCGTCCACGTTTCACTGCCGTATAGAAGAACGGACAGCACCATGGATTTGTAGACCATCAGCTTCGTGCCAATGGTAAGCTGATGGCTGTTCCACACTCGGTACTCAAGCTTCCCGAATGCAGTCGCTGCCTTCGACACGCGGATACAAAGCTCACTGTGTATCTGCTGATCAGTCGACATCACACTCCCAAGGTAGCAAAAGCGGGAGGTGATTTCCAATACTTCAGCACCATTGCTGATTCGCGTCATTATTGAAGATTGCACATCTGTTGAAGTCTGAAAGAGACAGACAGTTTTGCTTGTCATGATGGTGAGTCCGAATATGGCCGCTGTCGAAGCCAGAGCACTAGTCATGTGCTGCAACTCATCCGCGCTGTGTGCAACCAACGCACAGTCGTCAGCAAACAGCAACATACGGATAGTTGTCTCACAGACTGGAGTTCTCGCACCGAAACGACGGATGTTCAGCAACCCACCATCAATGCGATGCTCCACACGAACACCGTAAGCACAAGCGGCATCAAAAGTACAGGACAACATTGCATGAAGATATATATTAAACAGGGCAGGAGCTAAGACACAGCCTTGCTTCACACCAGTGATAACTGCAAAGCCATCCGAGGTCTCTACTCAGCTGCACCCTTGCTGGCATTCCACTGTGCAGACATTCAATTAAACTTATGAACTTACACAGACAAGCAAACTTGCTCAACACCAGCCACAATGCTTTGCGGTTCCCCGTATCAAATCCCTTGGTGAAATCAACAAACAGCCAGTACAATCGCTGTTGTCGTTCTCTGCACTTCTCCTGCAACTGACGAGCCGCAAACACCACATCTATAGTGTTGCGACCCGAACGGAATCCACACTGCTCTTCCGCCACGTTAGGTTCCACAACCTGACTGACGAGGCGGTTTAGCAGG